CAGTATTGATTATGAACTGATTGAATATGTACGTGTCATTATTATAATTATAATATTTCTGATTCTTTTTTGTTATTAAATCTTTATCAGTACAACTTAAATATACAACGATATCAGGATTCATATCTAGATCAAAAATTTCTTTCAACTGCTTCAATAAAATTATTTTATTGGTGATTAATTGAGGTTTGTTCGATGAAATTATTTTGGAACAAGGGTCTAATAAAAATTTGGGTAACTCCACAGTCTGCTCCTCGGTTTCTTCTTCCACGTGCTCTTCTTCTTGTTCTTCTTCAATTTCTTCTTCTGCTCCTAGTATTTTTTTATCACTACTCACAGAGGTATGTGAACCAGTATTGAGTTTGTTTATTTTATTCTTCTTGAGATTGGCTATAATATCAAATAACAATTCATCGACAATATACAAAGCCTCTTCAGAATACAAGTTACTGGTCATATATTGAGGACGCATATTAGATGGAACTAAAGGAAGCCCTGATACTACATATCCTCTGTGATTGACAATTGTAGATTTTAGTTTACTTTTCATAATATCTAATACTATTTCACTCTTTATTACTTTTTTATGTTTCATGTTAAATCTTATGCATTTTCCAGTAAGGCCGCTTTGTTCGATCTCATCAATCAAAATGTTTTTAGGGCACAAGTGAACACAATTATATTTCTTCGATATTGCTTCACCAAGAGAAAATGAGTCGGATCCTGGTTTACCTACTATAAGATAACATGTTGGCTTTGAATTTAAATAGCACTCTTGAGCATCATGATCAGTCCAAAGATCATAATGATTTGGTATTCCCTGTTGTGTTAATGCTGTGTTATTTAATCCAATAACAGCTGCAGCCAAAGGTTGTATGCTTTCTTTGGTTCCATTGTCAAATTTATTTAACTCCCTAAATTTTCCTTTATATATAACCTTCTTGTTGATATCCACATTTTCGAGACAATTATTGTCGGTTACATCCAAGTTACTTTTGTAATTCTCAAATTCTATCATTTTTTAATGTTACTTTCAGAACATGTATGAGCTGACAGAAAATAATGTCACAAAAAATCAATTGTGCAAATGTCATTTTACTAACAGATCATGACAACCAACAATGAGGTTGCGTAAGAGATTAACGACAATGTTTTAAAACTGAATGAATGATGAATTTTGGTCTTAATAAACGAAGATAAAACCTAGAAGGAAAAGAAACAAATTGGCTACTCGCAGAATCTAATCTTTTACGAAGTGCTTACTATAAAATGTATACGTAGTACTTATATTAATATTACTGTGATAAAGTTTCTTCTAATAGGGATGATGACTATTTTTTTTTTCTTCGTTTATCAGGTAGATTATCAAAATCGTATTTTCACATAATATAAACATTGCAGAGATATATTGCTTTGAAATGTCGCATGACGTCACGTTTTGGTACAATTTTCACTTAAAAGTGACGTCACGAGCCCCTACTCCTAAACTTTGCCGCGCTATAACTATGTCATTTTTTGGTTGATTGCTCAAAGAAAAAATACGTGTCCATTATTTTTTGATCATCTAACTGACGGAGTAAATAGAATTTCGTTTACTGTACCCCGTCATCACCCCTATTAAAAACTCAAAAATAAATTATCATAATAGGTATTTATGATTATTGAAATTTAATTAAAAACTCAGAATTATCCTGTTTTCAAAGTTTATTTTAACGATATTACTTCATATTTCTAAAGCGTAAGCGTTACATAATAGGAAAATACCTATTAATCACTAGTAGGTATATGTATACTTAATGGACTCCTTGTCTTTATTAATCAGCTCGAGATAATGTTGTTTTTGTAATTATAAACGATAATTCTGCAAAATTCGAAGCAAATAATATAAACTTTTATGGGTAAATCACCCCTACTGATAGTAGGGGTGATTTACCTTTACCGTAATGAAGCTTAGAAACAAGGACTCATCTATTTCTATAGGGAAATTCATCATAATTGATTTAGCTACTCAGGGGCAAAGCGAAACAAACAAATTCACTTTCGGATTTATAATATTATATTATACTATTGAGTGAAATAAAAAGGGAAAATTTATAAAATCAAAAAACCCGACTTCTTAAATATTACCTCAAATAAAAACTGAAAAGAAAAAACAAGTCCAGTCTAGTCTATAATGCTGTTAAGTAAGGAACAAAGCTACTTTTACAGTCGGGACCTATTAGATATTGAAGAATGGTTTTTTTTTTCAATAATGGGTCCCGTATGTTGAGTTTGCTTTGTTCCTTACTTAACAGAATTATAGACTAGTGGACATGTTTTTTTCTTTTCAGTTCTTATTTGAGGTAATATTTAAGCCATTGGGTTTTTTGATTTTATAAATTTACCTTACTAGGCGGTCGCGCTAGGGTTGAGAGAGTTTGGCTTGTGCACAAAAATGGTACCAGTAGCACTCGTACGTGTCTAGTTGTTTGATTTACTGTTGAGAATGAAACAAGAAGAATAGAAATATAAACCAATAATAACTAAAGTATTTTATTATTATATTAAGTACAAATTAAAAATAAATAGACTATTCACCGTATAATGTTGAATTCAAACAACTGTCCACTGAACTTACTTATCGTATATACAATAAAATTTATTAAAAATAAATTCTTAAGTCTGTAAAAAAGGTTACAGACGCGTGTCTCAAGAGTGTGGAAAGCACTGCAATGGTCCCAAGCAGTCCGAGCTATCATGTCTGTGAATAGTGTCTATGTGTGCGTTTTTCAAGCATACCTTGTATGTAGATTACCTTCTGTACTATCTATTTTTGTGGTTGTACTGGACTTTACACAAATACAATACTTGTAGTGTTTGTACCACTATTGTCAATTGAATACATACAGCCATATCTTAGGCTTTGAAAAACTAACATACGAGGGAAGGTCAAAAAGTTTGCAGAATAAGAAGGAAGGAGGTTGAAATTAAGCACCAAACTATTTTTCCTTTACAATATATTCGCCCTTAACCCTAATATATTTTTCAGATCTCTCAAATACTTTTTTATACCATCGAAAAATATATATTTGTCTTTGGTGTCAAAATAGGTCGAAATTGCGGACTTCACTTCTTCATTAAATAAAACTAGTTTTGACGGGTTAATGCACGAAACTTTATTTATATATTGACGTTTCGCAGCCTTTTCAGGTCTGCATCGTCAGAATACTGATTTTTTATTTAATTTTGTCGACCTACCTTCGAAAGACTTTTATTGAGCGTTCAGTTATTTCATTGGAAGATTTTAAAATACCACCAGATTATATACCACCAGCTTGGGAACCCATTATACAAGAGATGAAATCCCAACCTCTAGCACACACTGCAAGACCAACAGATACTATTACTTCTTTTTGTTAGCATGATTTATTTAATGAGTGATGTGCGTGAAAACCTAAGACACAAATATTCACTTCTTCATCTTCGTCATTTTTTTTAATTATTTTTTTTCTCTCTCACAGAGCTCCAAACACTGGCGAGACCACTCGACACGCTCTCGTTTTTGAAGTGGCGTGAGCATTCTCGGAACCAATCTTGCACTGACCTTAGTCATCCCAAGATGATGATGTAGAATATTTAAAATATATAATACTTGTTTCGCGTATGCGAAACAAGTATTTTAAATATTGCGATTGGAGTATTCCAATCATTGCTGCAAGCTGCTTCTTCTTCAACCGGGCATCTCTCAATACAAGTTTTTCTACTTTTTCGACGATTTCCGGTGTGGTGGCCTCAATTGGCCGTCCGGAGCGGGGGTCGTCTTCAATGGACTCTCTTGTTTGACAAGACCAGGCCACTTGTAAACCATGGTTTTACCAGGGGCAGTCCGCGTAAACCGCCAAAAGCTCTTGAAAAATAATGTGAGCTGATTTTCCTTGCTTGGTAAGGAACTTAATAAACGCGGTGTTGAATTTTCTCCATACTGGCTGACTTCTTCCCAATTCAGTTGTTTGCAGGTCGATAACTCAATAGTTAATGACCTGATTAGGTTCAAACTTGGTATATATATTCTTAATGAGGTGCTCAACTAGTGCCTACCTGGACGAGTAAGCCTACCCCTACCAACCCCTCCATTCCGCGAACTTATTGACCTCCCCTCGTAGATTAAGAAATAATAATAAACACAATGCCCTGGTAAGAAACAAATTAAACAAAAAGAAAACAAATTAAAAAGGCTTAAAAATGAGTGTCTAACACACAGACCTGAGAAACACTTTCCATGTGTTCAAATTATTAAAAAAAGAAATATTGATTGTTATGAAGTAACCACACTAATATTATAAAGGCGAAAGTTTGTGAGTGTGTGTTTGTTACTTCTTCCCGTCTAAACGGCTGGAGCGATTTTAATAAAAATTGGTATGGAGTTAGCTGACAACCTGGATTAACACATAGGCTACGTTTTACTGCCGGAAAATATCCCTAATAAACTGCGGGTATCACCGCGGGGCACAGCTAGTTTTATTATAAATATATAAACGCAAATTGGGAGGATCCTCAATGCTTAAAGGGAGGGAAGCCCCTGCCTGAGCCTCTTGGCCTTCTGCATGCCAATGCCAGTCAGAGTATTCACAGAATCTAGAGACTATTTTATAACAGGAAGCAACTTGGAACCAATCAAAATATAGTGTCAGGCTAATCAAACAATATTTACATGACAATACAGACCTCATGAACTCAAGCTGAAAAATGATCTTTTAATAGATCCAATTCTGTTGAGACTAAGTTTTCCAAGTGATACTTTTGTATAACTTGAGTCTAGGATTTTGTGGTTGCTAACCAAAAGGCAAACCTTTTTACATAAAAAATGTCTTTCAGCTAAGCAGTGGACAGGCTGGCACGCATGGCAGAAAATAAGAGGTTAACAACTAAAAGTTGACTTTGAAACCCAAAAAAGGGATGTGTGTCAAGCTACTTATGTACATTATTAAAAACAAATAATACAAATTTTAACAACAAGATACTTATTTTCATTGGGATCGATGGTGCAGAAAGGGAAGTTTTCTGCAGCAGCTTGACTTTTGGTCAGCACATTAAAGAATGTTGATTTACCAACATTAGGGACACCAACAATGCCTACTTTAAGGTTAGTGCCAACTCTTCCAATTAAAGGCTTCTTTTCTGGTTCTTCCACCTTTTTCGGAGGCATCCTAAAAATAAAAGAAAGAAATGCCACTATTATTGTGAAATAAAAAAAAAGGATGTGTAAAGTAACTAAAAATATTCCATGGTAAACATAATGAATAATTTAATATCATATGTTTAATAGCAAGTAAGAAAGAAACTGTATTTACTACATCTACTAACTTCTTAGATTAAAACAAAAAGGGAAGATATGGTACCCTCATATTAGCATCAAATAAATATGGACCGGCTCAGCTACATAAGCAACTCTCACACACGCACATGTCTATAAACATTGAATCGAGCAAGCGAGATAGAACTGTACGTTTCAATGCAGCTGAAGTGAAATGAGTCCGCTTCCGAGTCCGTACTGCTGAGCTTTATTGTTGCCCTTTTCTTGATAACAAAATGCCAATTACGTAAATAACATTCACAACAAACCGTGATTTTAGAGAAAAAAATGTTTTTACAGGTTTACGAATGAAGTGTTGCCTAGGCATTTGTAATTTGTTTTTAAATATTTGTGATCTTTATAAAAAAACAGAATATACACAATATTGTTATATTCAGTGCACATCAAGCATATTTGAATATCCAATTGTGACAAATTGTGGTCATGCACCACAATTTGAGTGGAACACTTATGAGTCATGAGTGCCGTATCTTCCCTTTTTGTTTTAATCTAAGACTAACTGTAATAATAAGTAATCAGATCAAACCATATTTATGTTTTTTTTCTAATCCACCCCAAGGGTCCGTTCAAGTATTACGTAAGCAGATTTATTACAATTATTTACCCCCTCCTCCCCCTTGTCAGCAAAAGTAAGCAAAGCTCTTACTCCCCCTCACGTGCTTACGTAAACATTGGTACCTCTATATGCATTTTTCCTTTAATGTATTCTGTTTTTTTTATTCATTCATGAGCTTTCATGAGCTTCATGAGCAGCAGTGCTTAAATAGCCTTAGGATAGAGGACTTTAACGCACATAATATTCATTGAAACAAACTTTATTGATACAGTATTCAACATTGAGTAAGGTCCTATTACGAACAAAACCAACTTCTTTGGAATTTTTGGTATATGTATACAATCTTCAGTCCATGACACCCGACTCCATGATGCTGACGTAATCAATATCTCGACCCCCCAACCCCCCATGTCATCAAAAATAAGCAACGTAAAGACCCCCCTGCCCCCCTATAGTGCTTACGTAATACTTGAACGGCCCCCAAGCAGCAAAGTTAGGGGTAAAGGTAAGTAAAGGCCTCTATTTAAGCTATAGTTGTGACAATTAGTTGTATAAAAACAGATCTGACCATTACAGAATAATTTTAGTCCATGAAAGTATTTTGCATCTTTCCTAAAAGCCTTATTTCTGCAATTAATTTTACAATTACTGATTAATAATCATGAGGAGTCAATGCATTACAGTCATTCCAATTGTACATAGAGCATTTTAAAGGTCATAAATACACAACTATGAAGCAATATCAAGTTTTAACAAATTATCCAAAACAGTTTATAGTTTGAATGTACTATAATAGTATTTAACTACTTATGTCATAGATAAACACAGTACAAAAATACTATTGTTAGTAGCTGTAACAATTTTTGAAGCCAGGTACTATTTTTTGGATCAGTAATTTTGTAGTTATATATACATAATATTTTTGTCTTTGTAGATGTAATTTTAATCAGAGTTCCTTATATTATACCATAAGGAACCCAATTTCATTTAATAATTCATAATGACAGTAAGAGCACTGTGGTAACACTAGGATTATTAAAAAAAACATTAAATCAAGGGGGTATTAAAATTATCTGTAAACCAAAAACTAGTTTATCAATAAAGTTTTATTTAGTTCACATATTTTTTAGTGTACAGGATCTTTAATCATAAAATAATATCTTTGACACTGCATACCCACCTGTCTTATAAATATTTCTTCAGATTCTGAATTATTATTTCTGTAACAATTAATACTTTGCCCATAACATTTAATGATAATCTACATAGTAACATTTTGCTGCTTGGGATACATCTTTTTTATTATTGGCAGTATGCCGTTAACCAGGGTCTTAGGACTCTTATAGAATTTAATTAATGACATGATGACATTTACCACAGTTAAAAATTCAGAACTTTAGTCCATTTATTTAAGACTTACTTTAATGACTTTATTTAGACCCTTATTCAGAGAGCTTGGTTTATAAAATGTATGTAAAATTTCCCCATTTAGTAACTAGTCCTGCTAGTATGTGAAATAAGTCTCTCATAAATAAATAAACTATAAATGAACTCTATTAAATGCTGCTGTACCGTACATCAGGTAGGTAAGGTAAAGGTTTTTGGTAGTTGCTATTATAACCTCACGGTGTTACATTAACATGATAGAAGCTATGAGATCTTTTAAACTTACACGAATAAATGATGGCACTTTTAGTAATATTTTAACTGTAAATTAAATACAGTATATTTTTACTATTGATAGTTTAAATTAATTTCCTCGAGACGCGTGTAAAATCTTGGCAAATGTTGCACCTGACACTTCTGACAGCTGACAGCACAGACTATTAGAGATACTACTTATGCTGACAGGGAGGCGAACATACATATGCACAGATTACTAAAAGCGCCTACTGACATGCCTGCCGCAGGGACAATCTAGAGTGTAAGAGTAGGGTGTAAGATGACCCTTAATTGCCTCCTGAATTGTGATGTGTGTAGGCAAGTTGGGGCAATTTTATAAATCGGGCCTGCAGCAGGGCGGCAGGAGCGTGAGACCACCCTTGGTTTCTAGATTGTTTATAATTAAAGAAAGAATTTTCAAAGTACCAAATTGCCGCTACACTACATGACAGTATAGTATTTCACGAAAGATGACACGCGGAAAAATAATGGAACGAAAATTATCTCCCTAAAAAAAGACCCTAGAAAATAGAGATAAATAGATTTTCGATTGATGAAAATAATTGCTCCATACCTCTCAGGTGCTATCTTTCGTAAACAAGACTAGACATTCACACGCTTCCACAGAGTATAATAGAATTCAGCACAACCAATTCACCAGCGAAACAGATTCCTCAAGAGCATACAGAAAGCATATCGTCACCGGCTCTTGTTTTGACACCACCGTCAGAGATTGAAGCACAGCTAGACGTGACACAAACTGCGGCATTAGTACCAATCCCTAAAAATTCAATCATGCCCACTGCGGCACTGGTGACACCCAGCACACCGTTACGCCCAAGTTCCCCACCGTAGCGCAGTACTAGGATGAGATGCGCGCCACGGCGGCTGATTACAGAAATCTCTTAAAGAAGAACGGGCGGGACGAATGTTGTAGACTTCTTTAGTATACCATAGTGTTATGCCTGTATTAGTAAACCTTGAGTGATGTTGTCATTTGTCAAATTAATTAAATTATATTTTCCAACTGAAAAGCAGGTTATTTCGTATTATTTAAGTAATTAGCGAAGATATACTTACATAGTGTGCGCTTTTCTAAATTTTCTGCTCACAAAATATCCGCACATCTGCGCACGCAGGACCTGACAAGTCCTCGGTGGACTTTTTTTTGAAGTTATACTTCTTTAGCCGCCTTATGAAAAAAAAATGGGTGCGTGTACTTATGTAGGCGCGTGAGAAGTTATCCTTCTTTGGCATCGTTTAAAATTAGTTTTTAATTGCATGCAAATAATTAATTACAATAAATTAATAAAAAGTCTGGAAAAGGACACAGTCGATAAAGTTCAGTTTTAATTTGAAAAAATAAATAAATAATCAAAATATTCAATTAAAATCGCTACTGAATATAATTTATTAGAACAAAATAAAGATGTGGTTTTTGGTTCTACTACACCTATGGTCAAGAGATGGCGCTGTAGTCTCCTGAATCGCGCTTTGGTTCCGTTGTTCCAGATTAATAAATACTTTTGATAGGCCTTCACAATGCAGTCGTTAGCACCCACCAAATAGAGATTCTATTTCTATTTTGTTGGTAGATTTTCTTAATGTGCGGTAAACACAAAAGTAACGCATGAAGTTGGTCGCTAAAGCGACCAACTTCATGCTGTTAAAATTTTGTGTTACAGTGATGCGCGCGCATCTTAAAATTTCACTCTCATCATTTTTTCATAACGCGCCTAAAGAAGTATAACTTCAATTATGAGAGTGAAATTTTAAGATGCGCGCGCATCACTGTAACACAAAAGTAACATAATGAAGTTAGCCGCGGGCGCGTTATGAAAAAATCATGTGAGTGAAATTTCGAGATGCGCGCGCATCACTGTAACACAATAGTAACACCATGAAGTTGGCCGCGGGCGCGTTATGAATGTTAGTGTCTAATAATGGTGGATTATTAACCACTTAGTGGTTAATAATCCACCATTATTAGACATCTGTTCGAAAGGTACTTTGAACGATCCACGGAGCTCCATAAGATGATCGCGTTGTCAAAAACAATGTTGGCACGCTCGTCGCCTCTGATCACTGTTTTCATATTTATAATATTTATCCACATGTTTCTAGTTTCTATATAGACACAACGTGTTTTAGTTACTTACAAGTGCTAATTACATATGGACTAATAACTTAAATTCAGTAGTGATTTTAATTGAATATTTATTTAATTTTTCAAATTAAAACTGAACTTAATTGACTGCGTTAACTATCCTTTTCCAGTCCTTTTATTATTTTATTGTAATTATTAATTATTTGCATGCAATTAAAAAATATTTTTAATGATGCTAAAGAAGTATAACTTCTCACGCGCGTACATAAGTTACACGCATCCATTTTTTTTTTCAAATTTGGGAGACTTATGTCCTCCGTGGACATAAGTTCAGTGTCTGCACAGGCCATTATACATATCTAAGTATCTTAAATTGTGGTAAATATATGAGAATTTAAAAATATCCAGAGGTCCTATCACTGATATACGTAGGGGCTAAATCATAGATGAATGATTAGTCTCGCTTCACTCGACTAGATACCGCCGGCGTACTTATCTAATGCGGCAACAAATACTATGCCGAAATCGGCATACCCGAGCTTTCAACATGTTCTGATATATCCATCAGAACGTCGCTGGCCGAAAGTCACAAGTATTGTCACCAACCGATTTTGAAAAGTTTTTGAAGGTAGCTCCGTAATGTCCAAATACTATAATGGCCATAAAGCTGCAAAGGTCAGTTGAACTTTATAACAGTTACTAACTACAAGTTTGTTTTTTGTCGCAATTGTGTTGAAAAACGTCGTATGCAGCTCGTGTGCATTGATCATTACACACTCAGCTTTCTGACCTAGTTACAATAATGTCTCGTTTATAGTGACCAAAGTATCACACTTGAATCACTGTTATAATTTACAAGTAAATATTACATGTAAAAAAAAATTGAGGCCTAAGCATTTTTTGAAGAAAAAACCTACGCCTAATCGTATAAGTACACTAAAATATTGATATATTCGCATCTAATTAAGTGCATCTTTTTAAGTATTTTATGAGCTACATTTATTTATAAGCTGGTACATATTAATTTGCTTGCTTATATCCCCCACTCAACTCCCGTTCGCCTCACCCGAACACACTTTTCGTAACGCGTAACGCATTCGCCAGCTTACCTCCCAAGTCAAGCATGCGTAAAAAAGTTTCACTTCAATAAATTTACTACTGACAATCAAATGAAGAATTCCGCTTAAGGGGCCAATCATTGGTCGATTCTTGCATGATTCTCTAAAGCTAAACTTAAATTTGACAACAGTGTATCATTGTCATTTTGTATATAGAATGAAAAAGACAGGCTGATGTTAAATTTAGTTTTCAGTTTAGAGAATTCTGCCAGAATCGAAACCATTGTCTATCCTAATATGACTGCATAAAATAAAATCAACAGAAAAAGTTTTAAGTGTACAGTCACAGCAAAACTTTGATGTTTTGTTGAATTTCTGCTAAAATACGATTTCACTGCGACAATTACATATATCTAATGTCGATAAAATCAAACATTTACTTTAAAAAAAACGTGTTTAAAAACACCGATTCCTTAATGACTTCAATAAAATGTGTGAACAGGCGACAATCATCATTGAAGAATTACCATCAAAAGAATAAAATAAGCGAGCCTTACATCAGTCACTTATGATGTATAACATTTGAAACCTCACCTTATATTAGTAAGTAAAATAAATAAGCCATTTGAACATTTTTCTTAAATCAAATAGCGCGCGTTTCGTGACTTCCTGTTACACACTTTCGTCCCATTTCACGAAATCACTCCCACAAATAATATTATGCGTGCCAAACTTTTCAAGAAATGCGATTGTATTCCATCCTAATATACATAAAGGAAAAATATAGGTACTTAAGAAGAGGCTGTGTGCATTAACTGTTCTTTCCCTTAAAACACTGGTAACGTTCCATTTCACTCTTATCAAGAAGAATCCAAGATTTCACTTTGTCACCCAAATTATGTCAATGTCAAATCTAATTCCAAGTCTAGGCTGTATGGACTTGCCCAAAGCCGTTAAATTTCTAAATAAAAAAAAAAAAAAATTCAAGTCTGCAACTTATATTCTAAGACCATTTTTAGTTATTATAACTACTTAATCTTAGTAATCTGTGTTATTAAGTATTTCAAAAAGTTACAAGTATTTGTGGGCCAATAGTAAAAACACACAAGGTAATTATGAGTGAAATTTATAAGATTACTTTCTACATATGTAGGTTTTTTAATTTGCTAAGCTTTTTACATAACTTTTATTCAAAACTGTCTAACAGTCAAGTACCTAGTGGACATAATATATAAACTAATTCGATCAAAAATCTAGACCACCAGGAAGAGAGGGATTTGATACCCATTCAACTCTTGCTAACTATTGCATTGCCCTGATTGATAGTAAGTATATATTTTACAGATGCAATTAACGTCGGACCCACGACGTGCAGACCGCGAGCGTCGCTTCAAACCTCCACCACCCACATCTGCTCCTGCTGAAGATCTGACAACAGATTACATGAACATACTGAGTACCTACTTTATAAATATAAACATTATTTGCTAGTGAATGTAATATAGCAGTGTACGTTAATTGGATTTTAAAATCATTTATTTTCAGGTATGATATTTTCTATGTGTGGACTTATGATGCGATTGAAATGGTGTGCCTGGACTGCAATATTTTGCTCAAGCATAAGTGTTGCGAATGCAAGAGTTTCTGACGACACTAAACAGGTTTGTTAAATTTACAAAACTATGTAAATGACATGGTACCTACTGTGTTAGAAACATCAATAATGATATACTTCAATATAGAGAAAATTTTACTATAGTCTATTCACATTAGCATGAGACAAAATGTAAGCAAACCATAAAAAGGATACTTTTTAAGGTCACATTTGAAAAAAATTTAAGAGTAGACATGATATAAATATTTTACGTTGAAGTGTTGTGTTTTGTAATCGGTTGGTTTATGTCAGCCATCTTTACTCTCCGATCAACCTGTTGAAGCAATCTTATTTGTTCAATTCTATTTATTTCCTTGTTTTATTTGTTGAGTTTGTTGTTATTACTGTTAAGTTTAAAGTTGTAAATAGTCTATAGGTTACATAAATTATACCTTATCATTGACTAGTAGGTACTTTCTGGCATTATAAAAGTTTTAGAACCTCAGATTCTTTGTTTACATTTTGTCTCACACCGAAGTGAATAGACCATAGAAAAAATTACACTTGGACCAGGTTTAGGATTTCGAACTTGCATCTTCTGCTGTCCTTACTTTAGATTTAAACATCTAGCAGCAATGCTTATATTTTTTTTTAATTGCTTTTTTGATATTAACTCTATTAATTTAAATTTTCATTTCAGATTGTGAGTTCATTTATGCTGTCTATATCAGCTGTGGCCATGTCTTATCTGCAAAATCCAGCCCCAATGTCTCCACCGTGGGCTGCCTTACTAACATAATAAATTTTCAATTTAAATTATTTAAAGTGAAATGTTATATAATAAAAGTGATTTTACTTACTGTTGTATGATTTTTTTATGTACAAAGCCAAAAGGGTAGCAAATAAGCATATGGCCCTATAGGTGCTCGCGATGCAAAAAAAAAAACACTTGCACTGTTATCCTGACCTAACATTCTCCTCTATCCCCTACACCTTGGAGCCCTAAAACCTTACTCAATGTCAGAAACACAACACCACCAAAAGGTTCTACCAACAACAATCCCAAAATCCTGACATTTTAAAAGGTCTAATTTTTAACTCTCCAGATCCTATCATGAGGATTATCATTTAATTTTCGTCATAAATGACGAAGATAAACATTTAGTTTAGTGCTTCAAACTGAGATGAAGTTTATATAGGTAATCTTGTTTGGATATGTTGTTGAGTGTTAGATTTGAACTAAAAACTATGAACATAAGCAAAAAATCTTGTATTTGTTGAGAAACAATCGAAAACAGTCGCACGCAGGCCCTATTGAGATAATTAAGTTTAAAGCGGCAATGAAGTTTGCTGCTGGAAGTATATGTAAAGTTAAATTTTGGTACGTACATTTCATTATCAATTACCGTTAGGAATACGCTCATTTTATTGCTGTTGCAAAAACATTCAAAAGTACACAACAATTTACCCCAATATCTAAAAATAATGAAATATCCTAGTAAAGATAAAACTACTTAAATTATTTGTCTACTTACTTTGGCTACTCGACGCTAGAGGGCGGTACTTTGATATTGATATTTTTAAGCTCCCAATTTACTCCCCCATACAAGACAGTTGAAAAAATGAGTAGATTAATTTAACGTAGGTCATCTCTCCTGGATTTAATTCGTCGGTAACTACGTAACTGGCCCGGGCCATTTCTTAGATTGCCTAACTAAGACGACCGTCCGACTGACGACATTTTATTTTAAATGATTATTTATATAACTGCCTTATAAATACAATAAAACTTTATTAAGTTTTTAGTATTTATAAGGTAAGTTTTCCAGGGCTCCGCGGGGTAAGGGTTTGCATTCAGGATCGACACCTCTTTCTGCCATATCATCAGCTATATTCGCAACTGGCGGGGTACGGTAATATGCAGCGCCTTATAAATATACTAGTGGCCACCTGCGACTTAGTAAGTGTCAACTTTAGAACCCCTGTTTTACTATTTTAGGAAGTGAGATTTGGAAAATCCTTTCTTAGCGCACGCCTACATCATAATAGCTATATTTGTGCCAAATTTACATCAAACATACATCAGTCAGTAACGGTTGCTTTTTTTAAATATACAGAATAAAACACGAATATGTATATAGAAAACACGTACAGAATACAATCACATTTCCCGTTTATCTAAAGGAGACCTAAGTAGGAGAGTTGTGACAGAAACTTTCTCCTAACCTATAATAATTAGAGAGATGGCAACAACTCTCTTTTAGATAAATAATTGGAAATAATAATTGGTATCTACCAATTATTATTTCTCTTAGAACCCCCAAATGGTTGCCTCATTACGACGTCTACGTACACAAAAAAACGCTTAAAGTAAGTTTCTCTTTATAAATTGATTGAATTTATTTTATGTTTTAACATAATTATGTGCGTTGTTGTGTTATGTTTTTTCAAGTTGTACGGTTATATAAGTCTCAAAGCGTCGCACTGATTTTTTGTATTCCTATCGTATTGAGGAAATATGAATTATTTTCAGACCAAGTCGTGATATTGAGCTAATAAACTAAAGAGGAATGGTTGTAATGTCCAGAATGCAAAGGCTGGTCACACTTAATTGTAGGTACTGGAGGCGAGCTGCAATACGTTTGCTTTAATTGCCTATCAGATTAATTAAATTTGTTGACTGAATATAATCTCGAAATTACTTAGTAGACATAATCACTTGTTATGACAATGTTGTAGGTACTTGATGTGGTAAAAGACGATTAAATTAGGTACTTATGGCAAGTTTTTTTATTATTATTATTATTGAGTATTAACAAACACAAACACTTTATAATATGTGTTATACCCCTTTTTAATAAACTAAGACTAAGCTTAGATTAGTTACTCTATGTTTTGTCTCTGTTCATTGAATGACAAACAGCACTTGAGTGATATGAACAAAACACGGCGTAACTAGTCTAAGCTTATGCCTCGTTTATTAATAAGGGGGAAATAGTCTAAATATAAAGTTGTCACAACTTACTCCTTACCTGTCACAAATTAGATCGGTGATAGGAGAGTTGTGACGTAGGAAGTAGTTTTACTTTTTGATTCTTTTCTAAAATTATCATTTTTTAAATAGTTATGAAAATTGATTTGAAAAGGAACGGATAGAATTGATTGATTGATTTATTTGAATGAATTTGAAAGGAAAACATTCTTTACTTATTAATGAAAATTTATTTGAAAAGGTAAGGAATATTGCTTTATTAATTCACATAGGTAATAACTGTAAAAGGTTAAATGAGAGAGATATTTCTCCAAATTATTTCTAGGCCCAAATCGATTTCTTATTAGGCCCAAATCGATTTTGAGCATCAGGGGAGTTGTCAAAACTCTCCTAAATGTGATGTGTAAAAATTCTATGTGGGCAATGCAAGAGCGATATATTTTTTCCAAAACAAAAAATTGTCACAACGTCCTATTTTTCCCTACTTTACCACAAGTACTTACTACTAGGATGCCTGTATTACAACTCCTAAGAGGTGCGAAGGCTCGATGATCAGATGATCATAATATAAAATAAAAGTAAAATATTACGTTGAATATTAGTAGAAGTATTGCAATTTCCAGTTCATAACGTGGTTATGAAGCTTTTGACCAGCTGATTCTGTGCCTAATAAGTATATAGTCGCAGTCCTGGTAGACGACATAAATTATATTTGCTGTTTTTGTATGTTTTTGCTTAGATACTGCGCTCAATATCCTCCTGGAAGCGAAACCTGATTGCGATGTGTTTCCGGATGAATGGAAGAAAAATGTTGTCATTTTATTTGTAGTTTTGCGAGGATATGTAATAGGTATGCAGTAGATATAATTGCCATTAAAAGCAAAACAATATGGTTGTTGAAAGTGACAAACTGACGCCTCCTTGCTGCGCACTGCCTTTCTCCGATCTGCTTCGCTCCGCCCACCACGTGCCCGTCCTAAAGAATTGTATAACGGTGGTTCTAAAAAAATAAATGATTTCGCGATCCACTTGGGACATAAAGTAGAAGGAAAATAGAATATTGTTGGTTAATGTTACACCCCGTTTCTTCATCCCAATATAGTGTCACCAGGAGAAGAGTGAAATTATGCTCGTCAAAAAATTAATGAAAGTAAGCGCGACCGTAAGAGAAAGTAAGTACCTATTGTTGAATCTTTTCTTGTTTTATAATAAACTAGCTGTCCCTAGCAAACTTCATGCCGCATAATAGTCGATGAATGGACCCCCATTCATCGACTATTATAAAATCTAATATAGTGAAATCATTATTTATTTAAGATAACCCAATCTTAAATAAATAAATGATTTTACTATCGCAATAACAAAAATACAAAAAAAAAGTTGAATAGTTTATCAGGGTATAGAGAAAATGAAATTTCGATAAAGTGTTCTTCAATGGAGTATCAGCGAAATTCAAAAATGGGGTTAATTTGGTTGCCAGCTATATGCCCAATATTCTCCAAACGCAGCCATCTCTTAATCTCTCAATACCATAAGACATCGTGGGAAATATTAAAAATATAATATTTTTGGAAAATTAAACCAAATGGCACAAAATTCGAGGCAGGAGCCTTGAATCGGCGGTGAATGAGTTCCACGAAGCCATTGAAGAGGTTCTAATTAAGATTAATAAATTAACAATTTTGTATCTTTATCAGAATTCGGAAACGTTCAGTAGGTATACCTAATAATTAAATAGGTAGGTATCGTGTATGACTGTGAGCTTAAATAATTGAAATATGTGTAATAGCGTGATTACACTTGGTTGTTAGCCCAAATACGAGTGCCAATGAAATTCGGGTAAACGACGTTGTGTAAATGAACGTAATCGAGTTCGCCCGCATTCGGGTAGTTTCGTTTTGGTTAACCGATACCGTCTTCCAGTCTATATTCCAGTGTAAATATTGCTTCGGATGCCCGAATTCCAGTAATAATCATAATCAAAATCATTTATTCAGTTTAGGCTGTTACAAGCACATATGAATGTCTAGAAGCTACGCCATCGGTCCAAATCTACGGCGGGAGACCTTGTACCGAGAAGAACCGGCAAGAAACTCAGCAAGGGCTGTTTTTTTCTCCCTGTTTTATTATTTACAGAGTCGTCAAATTGAAAAATTACTTCAGAGGTGATTCATGAAGTCACTTTTCATTACATAATTATTAAATATACATTAATTGTTCACCTGCATTTTGATTGCTGTGTCATACAGTATAAATACAAATAGTATTATTTATATTCGGTGTGACTAAACATTAACTTCAATATTAAGGAAGTTAGGGCAGACTCATCTCCGCTGGCAGCACCCGTTCACGAGCATGACGCATGAACCAGCCATCGCTTCGCTCAACCATATTTTAGGGAACGTAACGACCCGCCTCACTCGACACCGCCGAAGAGACTATTATGAGAGCATGACTACCCATAACTACCCATACTAACTACAACATATTTACTTAAATTAAGGTCATTTACCTGTAAGACACAACAAACAATTACAAAACAAAGCAAAGGAGAAATCACGACCACGCCGTTTCGTCAATCAAATATTCTTAAACAGTCTGATAATCTTGCTTAAGTTATCAACTTTATATACAGCTTTCAGTTTAATTATAGTATTGTCAACACATAATTCATAATTTAAATCATATAGAAATACCCGTTGGAATGGTTGGAATAGTTCATACCCAAGCATTTTTGTCTGTAATATAATCAGACACTTTATAATATGCTTTCTTAACTAGTGATTTTTTAATGGTCGAGTCATGCTTAACTCTTGAATATTGCTTGGAACTTTATTGTAAAAGCGAAAACTAAGACCTCTAAACGAATTATTGATTTTGTGGAGCCTAGTAGCAGGTAAAGTTAAGTTATTTTTATTTCTAGTATTATATGTATGTATTTCACTATTTTTAGTAAACAAATTAATATTTTTTTTTACAAATACTAAGTTGTCATATATGTATTGTGATGCAACTGTCAATATACCTATTTATTTAAGCTTATCTCTTAATGAATCCTTAACTTTAAGATATAATGTCTTTCGTGCACCCGAATACGGGCTAATGGCCTAGTGTAATTGAGCGTTTTATATAGTTCATTGGGCAAAGGTTACATCCTCTTTTTTGGGCAGATAGTATAGCAGGTCTACAAAT